TTTAATATTTATTTTTTAGTTCTCGGCGGACACAACATCTTTGTTGGTATGTGGTGCTGAGGATCGAACCCGGGCCGCACGCACGCCGGGCGAGCGCGCTACCGCTGAGCCACATCTCCAGCCCCTTAAATGTTTTATTTTTAACAGAAAACAGATGTTATTCCTTCTTTTATAAACTGCAATTTAAAATTGTTTAGAGATCTTTTTTTCTTTTCACATCACAGCTCCTCCAACTTTTGAGGGTAGTAACTATTGATTCAGATGTTTGATGGAACACATAAATAAATCTGGGTTATCTCTGGCCATTACAAAAGCAATATAATACCTAGAGTACTATTACATAGAAAAATCATTGAGTTGTGGGATGTTTCATAATATGGAAGCAAAATGGATATATCACATAGGAACATGAAAAAAAAAATAGATTTGTGTGTACTACTTTCAAGTTAAAAATGTTTAAATAAAGGTTTATTTGGTACCTAAACTCTAGAAACCAAAAGCAGGGCACTTTGAAAGATAATAAATTTGAGGAAGCAGTCTCAAAATATTTAGCTTAAGTAAAATGTTTTGGTAGAAAGTTGGGGATATAACTCAGTGGTAGAGCATCCTAGGGTTCAATCCCCAGCACTGTAAAAGAAAATTTTAAAAAAGAATCCAAAGGAAATTACCAGTTCACAACAAAGGATTCTAGGAAAAAGTGTTAATTAAGTTAGTCAAATAAAAATTTCAGGAACTATGAGCTCCACCAGGAGCCCACTTGCAATTTCTGGAACTCTTAACCTAGCTTTAATTTAGACAATAAATTCTGAGAATACAAAACAAATTAGATGTGGTTGCTACCCTCAAGAAGTACATTTCCCAGAGATCAGAGCTGATGGGGGAACAGGTCTCCTTTGATAAGCTAAGCAGTGTCCTTCTCATTGACTAGTGACTTAAATATCAGGGAAAAGTAGAAAGATTCTAAAGGAGCCGGGCATGGTAGCATATGCCTGTAATCCCAGTGACTCAGGAGGCCAAGGCAGAAGGATCTCAAGTTTGAGGCCAACCTTGGCAATTTAATAAGCTTCCTTAAAATAAAACACTAAAAGAACTCAGGACATGGCTCAGTAGTAAAACTAAATGCTGAAGGAATAGAGGAATGACTGCTGTAAAGGCGAGGAAGCAGGTGAATTTTGTAATAAAAGATGAGTGTAAATTTCACTTCTCTGCATATCATCTGTGTAAAGGTCTTGATATCTTTCAATACAGCTTGAGTAAGGAGAGTCTTGTAAATTTTTTAAAAGTGTTTTATTTCACTTCTTATTTCAAGCACATTTTGGGCCCTGACTTCCAGAGGAGAGGAGGAAGTGTTGAAAAAGAATGGAGATATACAAGGATAATGATAAGAAGAGAGGCTGACATGTGAACTAATTATACCCAAAAAACAATTCCTGACCCTCCACACCTCTACAATTTTCCTTCCAGTTTTCTCTTCACCAACAGCACTACTAACAAAATTCAAATGTCTGGACCCATGTTCTGTAGCCCAGCATTGGCAGGAAAGAAATCAGGTTTATTCAAAGCCAGCCCTAAAGAAGATACAGGGGGTAACTCCTTCAATCTCTAACATGCTGGGCTCAGGAGGGTGAAGGGTTGTTATGGTGAGATAAGGAAGCAGGGAGGCTACAGGCTGTGTGGGTCCTTCCTCAATAAGGGTCAAAGCCTTATCACAATGGATTTTTGACCTCTTGCAGTTAGTTACCAAGGAAGAGTGTTACAAAGACCATCAAAGTTCTCTGAATCTAAATAAAGTATTCAGGTGAGGCCTCTCCTCAGAATTTGGATTATTACAATAAGGCCTCTCCTTGGAGTTTAGGGAAGGTGAAAGTAATCCTGCTAGGACAACTTTCAGAAATTACAAATCCCCGTTACAAATCCCCTAGGCAGGAGTCATGCTTGAATTCTTCCTTTCCCTCACTCCAAACATCAATCCATCGACAGAGCTGTTGATTCTACTTTGTCAATATATCAAATCTTTCCAAATCTGTTACCCTGGTCCAGACCATCATCACGACTTAGATCATCACGGGATATACAAGGATAATCTGCCTCACGGCTTTCAACTGCAGGTTCCTTTCAAAACATTCTCCACCGAGAGTCCACAATGACCTTTTCAAAATCTCTAAGAAGTCACTTCTCTTCCCCGTCTCAGTGCCCTGGGGGCTTAGACGCTCAGGGTACTAGAGCAATCAACGAGATAACAGACTGCACTTCGTGATTGGCTGATCATTGGGGTTGAACAAATATTTTTATCTTGAGACTCCCACAGCCAACCCCAGTCCTCGATCTTGCCACAACGACCTTCATCTTTTTTCCTCCAATCTACCATACTCCTTTGGCCTGGAATATCCTCCCCCCCCCCCACTGGCTTTTCCTGGGCACGGTTCTCCACCACATAAATAAAGCTCTACTTAAATTCCTCAGAAAGCTTTCATCCTATCAACCTGCTGGGGTCCTTCCCAGCACTCGTCATACTTTTGGGTGTACAGTGCTCTGTCCCCTCAGGCCTCGCCTCTAGTCCCCTCCCACCCCCACAAAACTTGGCCCCGTCTGCAGGGAACCCGGATCGGAGTCGGCTCAGGCGGACGGGGCCGGGCGCGGGGCACTCTGGGAATCGTAGTCCCCGCCGCCCGGAGGCGCCGCCGCCAGGAACCAGGTGATTCTACACGACATTCACGTGAAAACGTCCCAGCTGTGAGCGCCCAGCGGGAGAAGCCGACCTTACCTAAGTCCGGGATCCCACGCCGGAGCTCCAGACACAAAAGGGGGAGCGCAGAGAGCAAGAAAATGCCCACGACCCCTCGAGCAGCCATAGCGGCGGCCGCCCCGCGACTCGGACAGAGCCCGCCCCTTCCGGAGGCGCCTTCTCGGAGGGCGGAGCGGAGTCCTTCCTACCCCGGGAACTTGCTGGGGACCGGACCCCGAGGCTGGCTCCTTCGTCAGGCTGAGCTAAGCCCCTCTGGTTTTGAACTCATAGTTCTGGTCTCAGAAGAAAATCCAGGTCAGCGCCCCATCACATGATGTCCAGGGTTCTTAGGGTGGTGGCCTTCTGGAGGCTGAGCAAGCTGTCGGTCTGTCTTGACTGTGTCGTCTAAAAAGAGCTCTCGAGAGTGAAATAAGATGAAGGGAAAGTGCACGAGCAGTTGACCTTGTGAGGAAGTGGCCTGGCCCCTCACCTTTTGGTAGTAGGAGGTGATTGTGAGCTTTCAGATCCTAGCTTACTAAGCAGCTTATCTCCCCAACAGTTCCTGCGGCTTCTTTTGAAGTGGGCCCTGGCACCAAATACCTGCCCATTCCCACACACCCTAATGCCTGATACTGTATACCTGCCACCCTTTCCTCTCCTTTTCAGTTTTGCCTTACTGTTAATGAGTGAACCTTAGCCTCATTTTATGACCTCATTGCCATCCTATGACTCACCTCTGGTGCAACTCTGAACCTACAGCTCAGTTAGGCTATGGAGGTCCTCCCAAACAACAAGATTTCATATTCAAAATTCCCTTTTCCAGCCGGRCCTGGGGTGAATGGCTGTAATCCCAATGGGAGGCAAAAGGATAGCAAGTTCTAGGCCAGCCTGGACAATAGCAAAACCCTGTCTCAAGTGAAATTTTGAAAGAGCTTTTAATTAGCTCACTTGTAGGGTGCCCCAGGTTTAATCCCACAGCAACAACATAATTTCCCTTTTATGACCAATTCATCAACCTCCCACTCACCTTTCTATTTGTTTTGTAGTACCCAGATTGAACCCAGGGATGCTCTACCTCTGAGCTATATCCCCAAACTTTTCAAAAGCTCATCTTGAGATAGGGTCTTGCTAAATATCCAAGGATGTCCTCAAATTTGTAACTTTACTGCCTCAGCCTTTGTAGTGGCTGGGATTACAGGCCTAGCCACCACACCTGGCCTCACCCTTTGATTTAGTTCAAGTAACATTGAATGCCATGCCTTGCCTACTACTATATAACTCAAGGAAGTTCAAATATGTGAGTTATTTAATGTCCTCAAGAAACAGCTTAGTTAGGTGTGGTGGTGCCCATCCCCAGTACTGCAAAAAAGAAAAACAAACACAGAAACTTGATTTGGTGGGAAATATATCCCTGTAAACACATAAATACAATATAGTACCTGTGTGCTCTGACAGGTTATGTACTACAGAACCATATGCTGTAGACTGGGGAAGCAGTTCATAAGCAGATATACCTAAAGTGTGCTTTAAAGGTTAGAAATTAGCGGGCTGGGGATGTAGCTCAGTTGGTAGAGTGCTTGCCTAGCATGCACAAGACCCTGGGTTCAAACCCCAGCACCACAAAAAAAAAAAAAAAAAAAAATAGAAGTTAGGAATTTGGGCAGCAGGATCTTAAGAGAAAGCATGGGATTTCAAATTTAGGAAACAGTGCAGATGAACCACCAGTAATTAAAATATTGTGCAGTTTAAGCAAGTACTCTACCACTGAGCAATACCCCCAACCCCCTGTTGCTGCAGTTTAAAGATTGAATAGAAGTGCTTAGAGGTAGGTTGGAGCAAGGATCACAAAAACTGCTTTGTGTGAGAGGGCCAGATTTTTTTTTWAATATTTTTTTTAGTTGTAGATGGACACAATACCTTTATTTATTTTTATGTGGTGCTGAGGATCGAACCCAGTGCCTCACACACGCAAGGCGCATGCTCTACCACTAAGCCACAACCCCAGCCCCAAAACTACTTTGTGTATAGGCCAAGAACTTAGTCTGCAAAAAGGTGCAAAGCAGGGCTAGGGATGTGGCTCAGTGGTAGAACCCTTCCCTAGCATGCACAAGGCACTGGTTTTAGTCCCCTACAATGAAAAAAATGTATATATAGTAAGTATGTAAGCACAGTCTGAAACTAATAAGGAATTACAACATGGCTTACCAAGAAACCATACTGACTCACTCAGATGTTCCCATTGCTGTCTGTTTCTATCCAATGTCCATTATACATGAGGCCAGGGAAAGGGGTGAGTTCTATGGTTCTTACCAGCTTCATTTGGTATGATTTCCTCCTTCAGATATTTTTTTCTTCCTTGTTAACTTCCATCTTCTATTGATGATGACATAGAATTTTTATCTGGACCAAAAGGTGGAAGTTTACAACTACTCCAGATTTGCTTTGACTCTTACAATGTAACCACCACAACAAAAAGACTACCAGAGAACCTGATCAATACTTAAACTGAGTTTCTTAAGTGCAATTAAGGGAGAATGCTACTTTGATGTAATTTTGAGTAGTATCTCAGAGGATAGGTAAAAAGTGTGTTTTGTTTTGTTTGTTTTTGTAAGGATTTAACCAAGGGGTGCTCTACCACTAAACTACATCCCAACCCTTTTTTTTATTTTATTTTAATTTTATTTGAGACAGTCTCCATAAATTGCTGAAGCCCCAAACCCATCCCTTTTTATTCTAAGACAGGGTCTGGCTAAATTGCTGAGACTGGCTTTAATTTGCAATCATCCTGCCTCAGTCTCCTCAGTCCCTGGGATTACAGTTGTGAGCCACCACACCTGCCTATCAGGTTTTTTTGTGGTATTGGGATTGAACCCAGGACCTCAAGCATGCTAGGCAAGTGCTCTACCACTGAGCTACATCCCTAGCCCCTCAGATATTTTCTCATAGAAAATTTGACTAACACCACCTCCCATTAGACCACCACTCAGGACCACCATGCTAGGGATCAAGTTTCTAACACATGAACCTTTGGAGGAACACACTCAAGCCATATCAAAACCTTAGCATCTCTCAAACCCTCCATCTTTTCCTCAATCTTATTTTTGAAGCATTTCAAAGTTGAAAACATTAGTACAATTTCCCAAAAATACTTCAGTATGCATATATCACATGCATATGTATGGGAGGCTAAAGGTCACCTCTGCCCATCTTAGTTCTTAGTTGATATACCTATCATACAAGACAAACTAACAAGAGAAGTATGAAGTTTATTAGTGTGGATAGTATACTCAATGACTTAGAACTCTGGCTTATGCTGGGAATTTTATCACAGTATTTGTTTTTGTGGTGCTGGCAACTGACACTGTTTTTATAATTTATGTATTCCCTTTTTGACCAAATATTAAGTTTCCTACAAAGAATGTGGGTTTTTTTTKTTGTTGTTGTTGTTGTTTTGTTTTGTTTTGTTTTGTTTGGCGGTGCTGGGGATGGGACCCATTCAAGTTAAGCACTCTACCAGCTGAGATATATCCCCAGCGCCATGTGTTTTCTTTTTTGAGGCAAGGTCTGGCTATGTTGTCCATGTTAGCCTCAACTTAGTGATTCTCCTGCTTTGGACTGTGCCCAGCTTATTTTCACTTGAAGGGACAAAGACCTGAGGCAACTTTTGCTTCCTTTGAAAAACTCACTAACATGACCACAAAAAGATGTTAAGCCAGGTATGGTGGTACACACCTGTAATTCCAGCAACTCTGTGGTTGAAGTAAGTTCTCATCATTCTTTTTAGAATGTGCATGGATTTTTTTAATCACCCAAAGACAATTCCTTAAACAATTTAATCGAATGTGCCTTCTGATCATACTGCAGAAGAAGGACCAAAAGTTTGAGGCCAGCCTCAGCTATTTAAGCAAGGCCCTAATCAACTTAACAAGATAAAATAAAATTTTAAAGAGGCTGAGATATGTAGCTCAGTGATAAAGCACCCCTGGGTTCAATCCCCAGTACCAAAAAAAAAGATGTTAAAAGGTCCAAGCCCACAAGAATACAAGGAAGAAGAGAACAGAAACTGAGGGCTGGGGTTGTGGCTCAGTGATACAGCACTTGTCTAGCATGCATGGGGCACTGGGTTTGATCCCCAGCACCACATAAAAATAAAACAAAATAAAATAAAGGTATTGTGTCCATCTAAAACTAAAAAAAAAATATTTTTAAAAAAAACAGAAACTAAAACTACAAAGGCAAAAAAAAAAAACTTGGAGGATAACATGGAAAAGTGGCAAAGACTTATCAGACTCATGAAAATAGAACCCAAATTAGCCATAGGTAAATGCTATACACTAAAATGATTACATACAAAATCTTCAGAATACCAAGGAATTGGAAGCATCTCTGAAAATGAGTACAGGTAAAGAGGGAGCTAACCCAAAGACAAATAGTTAAAGAAAGTCCATTTAAAATGCAGTACCCAGAAACCCCTTAACTATTTCTGTAAGACTGCTTCTCCTGATTCTCAGAAAAGATCTGAGATTTATTGGAAAAGGGAAAACAGAGGTGTCTATAAAGGAGACTATACAGGAGACATTTAAAAGCCTGACTATATTTGGGTTTGCTCTTTCATAGTCCCCTATACTTCTCCTTTAGAGGACTTACCACAGTCTTTAATTTAAAGATGAACACAATACCTTTATTTTATTTATTTTTATGTGGTACTGAGGATYGAACCTATTGCCTTGACATGCTAGGCAAACACTCTACCACTGAGCTATAACCACAGCTCAGCAATTTTACATAACAATTATGCAGTTTTTACTTAAATATTGTTCTTCTCTACTACACTGTTAGGCTCATGAAGGCAGGGATATGTTTGTTCAGTTACTACTGTATTTTTAGTACCTTATAGAGTCATTTGCAAAAAATAGTTAAGTAGACTGGCACAGTGGTGCACACCTGTAACCTCAGTGACTCAGGAGGCTGAGGCAGGAGGATTGTAAGTTGAAAGCCAGCTTCAGCAATTATGAAAGCCCTGTCTCAAAATAAAAAACTTTAAAATGGGTTGGGGTGGCTAAGCACCCCTGAGCCCAATCCCCAGTATAAAAAAATTTTTTTGCAGTAGATATTTTTGAATGAATGGATATATATATCCTAAGTAGATGAATAGCTGAGATTACAAGTGTGCATCACTATGTCTGACCCAATTTCACTCCTTAACTCTAGGATCTATTCTTTCTTATCTGTTCTCCATACTGCCATGAATTACCTTTGCCTCCTATACTTCCAGTTTCACCTTCTGCAGTTCACTTCAGATTCCCAAGGAAAAACATCTTTGAGAAATCTCCAGTGTTCCTTATTACCTGTGGATTAAAATATAAACACCACATTCTGGTTACAACCAAGGCTTTCCAGTACTCTATCTCTTATTACTCCCTTTCAGCTGCCTACTGTCCACTCAATCTACACTACACTGCTTACTATTTCCAATTCCTGCTGGCTCATTTCCTCATCCTTTAAATTATCATTCTCTTTGGCTTGCTTATCTCCTTTTTGTCAGCCTCAGTTTTTTATATTCGAATACTAGTGATGTGAAGATTACCAGGCTAATTAACTCAAGCTGATTCTTAAAATTTTCTGAAGTGATTTCTGGGTACAATAAAAATAGGCTCACATCTGGGCTTGGTGGTGCATGTCTGTAATCACAGTAATTTAGGAGGCTGAGGCTGGAGGATCACAAGTTCTAGGCCAGCCTCAGCAAATTAGTGAGACTTTAAGCAACTTGGTCAGACCCCATCTCAAAATTAAAAATTTACAAGGGCTGGGGATCCAGCTCAGAGGTAAAGTGACCCTAGGTTCAATGCCCAGTACCAAAAATTAAAAATAAATAAAAGGTTTGGAGATGAACCTCAGTGTTACAATGCCCCTGGGTTCAATCCCCAGTTCAGCAAAAGAGAACAAAACAGCCTCCCGATTTCATGAAGAAACTGACTCTTAGGTTAAGGGGCTAAGAGTACCTGTGATGGGAGGTGAATCTAAATTTCTCTGACTCAGAATCTATTCCTAAATACTTCAGTATATCTCTTATGAACAATAATATTCTCTCATGTAACTACAGTACAGTTATCAAACTCAGTTTTGTTTGTTTGTTTTTTCTTTTAGTACCAGCTAGTGAACTCAGGGACATTTAAACCTGAGTCACATCCCCAGCCCTTTTTAATATATTTTTTTAAGAGACAAGGTCTTGGGCTGGGATTGTGGCTCAGTGGTGGAGCACTTGCCTAGCATGCACAAGGCACTGGGTTCGATCCTCAGCACCACATAAATGTAAAATGGAGATGTTGTATCCACCTAAAACTTAATAATAAATATTTAAAAAAAAAAAAAGAGAGAGAGAGAGAGACAAGGTCTTACTAAGTTGCTGAGGCTGGCTTTGAACTCATGATCCTCCTGCCTTAGCCTCCCTAATCCTGGGGATTACAGGGGTGTGTCACCGCACCCCCGTGAACTCAGGAGGTTTCAACATTGATACAGCACCCTTTTATGTTATTATATACCACATTCATATTTCACCAATTGCCCTTTATAGCAAATCTCTCCCAATGGAGAATCCCATCCAAGATCAATCCTTGCCTTTATTTCTATTTCTTCGATTTTTAAAATCTGGAATTATTCCTTAATCTTGCTTTGTTTTCAGAACATTAATCATTTTTAAAGAGTGCTGAAGAATAATGGCTAATTGTAAAATTCCTCTCAAATTGGGTTTTTCAAATGTTGCCTCATGATTAGATTCAAGTTGTGGACTTTTAAATTTTACTCCCCAGTAATGGAGGCTGCACTCAGGATCTCATAAAATAGGCAACTGCTTTCAATCAGCGAGCTCCATCCCCACCCCTTTTTATTTTATTTTAAAATTTATTTTTTTGTGTGGTACTATGGATTGAACCCAGGGCCTCAAGCATGCTAGATAACTGCTATACCACTGAGCCCTTCTTAAATTTTTTATTTTTTGTCACTGAATTGCCCAGACTGGCTTTGAACTTGTGATCCTCCTGCCACAACTTCCCAAAGTCACTGGAATTGCAGGCCTGTGCCACTTCAACTGGCAGATAGATTATGGAATTTTTAGGAAAATTACTACATATTTTTTKTGTGTGTGTGTGGTGCTGGGGTGTGAACCCAGGGCCTTGTGCATGGGAGGCAAGCACTCTACAACTGAGCTATATCCCCAGTCCCAAATGTATACTTTTATTGAAGCACATTATGAGGCATACAATGATAACTCATTTTTAGCAAAACTGAATTTTAACCATTTGGACAATTGTGGTGTGGTGCCTGCCTGTTTTGTTTTTGGTGTTACTGTTGATTGAAACAAGAGCCTCACACATACTAGGCAAGCACTCTACCACTGAGCTGTATCCCCAGCCCCCCGTAAAGTTGCCTTTTTTCTCTTTGTGACCAACAATCAATTTGTAGGGGTATATTCTGAAATTATATAATATTTTCCCTACCAAACTTTCACCTCATGGTACCACAGAGCCACATCCTCAAGTCCTTTTTGAGACAGGGTCCCTCCAAGCTGCCAAGGGTGACTTAACTTTCTATCCTCCTGCCTCAACTTTCCTAACAGGCATGCCCCAACTTCCTTCTACATTTGTTCTTTTTTTGTTGTTGTTGTACCAGGGATTGAATTCAGGGACACTTATTCACTGAGCCACATCCCTAGACCTTTTAGTATTTTTTTATTTAGAGACAGGGCCTTGCTGAGTTGCTTAGTGCCTCACTTTTTGCTAATGCTGGCTTTGAATTTACAATCCTCCTGTTTTAGCCTCTTGAGCCTCTGGGATTACAGGAGCCTCTGGGATTACAGGAGTGTGCCACCTCAAGGCCATTCTACATTTTTTTTTTTTTAAATGTGATAAAGTTTTCCCTTTTCTCCAGGTTTTGTTGTTGTTGTTGTTGGTTTTGGTACTGGGGATTGAATCCAGGACATTTGCCGTTGAGTTATGTCATTATTTATTTGGTACTGGAGATTGAAAATAGGGTGTTTTACCACTGAACTATCTCCCCAGCCCTTTCTATTGAGACAGTGTCCTGCAAAGTTGCCAAGGCTGACCTTGAATTTACTAGGATTACAGGAGTGTGCTCTATATTACTTTTTAATTAGGGGGAAAAATGCTTTAAAAATTTGGAATCATTGTAATGGGGTGCAGTTGATTCCCAATACCCCTATTATCTTGGCCTAGGTGTTTGAACCTCAGACCTTCATTTTTTTTGCCGCCAGAGCTTTCAGCCTTGACCTGTATAGTGTCCTTACGGGCGACTGGTCTGGATCTTGGCTTATTATGACACAAATTCAACCCGGGTTACAACTCTTTGGGGCAGTTAGTACTTCCAGATATTCCAAAAGAATACCCCAGTCTCTATAGCTTGGGAGGTATTGTGTCTTCCATCTTGATTCCATCTTTATTCTTCCGTGGAAGAACATTGTTACTGTGATTCAATCCATTATTTCAAATTTCTCAAATTAAATGTGCTTAAGAATTACTTGAAGATTAGGCTGGCTTTGAATTATCACTGAGCTGGGTACGGTGATACAGGCCTGCAATCCCAGCGACTCAGGAGGCTGAGTTAGGTGGATGGCAAATCAGAGGATACTTTCAGTAATTCAGCGAGACCCTGTATCAAAAAAGAATTTTATTTATTTATTTATTTATTTATTTATTTATTTATTAGGGGTTGGAGATGTAGTCAAGACTCCCTGGATTCAATCCCCAGTACCAAAAAAGAATAGAATCACACCGGAAGGAGGAGACCACGGTTTAAAATGTAAATTCCCAACCCTTGGTCAGGGCCCAGAAGTCGTCAACCCAGGTGGTCTCCGGGAAAACTTAACCTCTGCAATAAGAGGGCAAATTTCTCTAGCTCCAGAAGATGGGTGAAACAGGAGACGTCGTGATGCTTCTCCGCCTCACCCCAGGCGCCTTCAAATGCCTGCCTCCGGCCAGTGCCGCCCGGGAGCCAGGAGCTCAGGCGTTCGGGTGAAGGGCCAGGACAAAGCCCGGGGCTCCTCGCAGGGGCAGGCGCCATTCGCCGTCACTGCAGGGGGACCGAGAGGCTGTCCCGGACGCGGCGGCGAGCCCCAACTCCCAGCGCCTGCCCCTCCTCCGCCCGCTCCCGCGCAGCGGCCGGCTGCTTAGTCACGATGAGGCTGCGCTTGCCGGCGGCCCAAGCCCCCTCCCCCCGGGGCCCGCCTCTGGGTTGCTCTCCCTCCCCGTGCCACTTCCGTGTGGATGGCCCTGCTGCCCCGCACGCTGAGCGCGAGCGTGGGGCCGAGCTGGCTGCGGGTGGCGTGCGCCTTCCACGGCTTCCCGCTGCCTCCGCCCGGGCCCGCCGGCGCCCTGCGCACCCTCTCCCAAGCTATGGCGTGTAAGCAGGAGCCTCAGCTGCAGTGTCCGCCGCCCGCTGCGGTGGCCTGCTACGACTACCTGGTGATCGGGGGCGGCTCCGGCGGGCTGGCCAGCGCGCGCCGGGCAGCCGAACTCGGCGCCAGGGCCGCGGTGGTGGAGAGCCACAAACTGGGCGGCACTTGCGTGAGTATCGCGGCCTTTTGGGCGCTGCTCCTAGTGCCTTGGGCTTGCAGCGTTGTATTCGCTACTCCTCTTAGTCCTAGCACCTACAGGAGCCAACTGTGACCTTGCTTACTGGGAACCCCTTTGTCCCGGCCCGGAGGGCGGCCCCCAGCGCCGCGCTTTCGCACACTGTTTCTAAGGCCAGACCCTAGCAGGTGGAGAAAAGTGTAAAGGAGCTTCTCTTCGGCCCCTAATGCTGGGTCAGCGAGTGCTTCCGCACAGGCGCAATATTAACGAAACTCGTAGCTTATTAAATCGAATATAACTTATTTGCATCCTCCCTCCTCCAGGTGGGAGAGTATTGCGTTCCATGCTTATGTGCCTGAAAGGATTCATGAAACCCAAGACTGCATCTGGGAAAATTGAAAGTGGATTGTGGAGGCGGGTAACCTCGAGGAATGTTGATCCTGATCCTTTCCCATCTATTTCAAAGGCATAATGATTTATAGCAGCAGTTTAACCTTGGTTGCGCATTCAAATCACCTAAAATGTTCAGAGTTCTGCGTGGATTCCCATCCCAGGACTTGTGGCTTAATTGTTCTGAAGTGTAGCCTCGGTTTGGGGAGTTTCAGAAGCTCTGCAGGTCATTTGAGTTTTAGCCAATGCCGAGAACTACCGACTACCTTGATAAAAGGCTTTGAAGTCATTGATAGGTGATCTCTCAGATTTTCTTGTTTATTTGGGGTAGATTTAAACCCCCCACTCCAGTGGTTGTATATTCCTTTTTTTTTTTTTTTTTTTTTTTTACACAATACCTTTATTTTATTTATTTTTTAAATGTGGGACTGAGGATCTAACCCAGGGCCTTGCACGTGCTAGGCGAATGCTCTACCGCTGAGCCATAACCCCCGCCCCCGTGGTTATAAATTCTGAGATTGAAAACCTACTTGTAAATTTTGAACGTGAGTTTTGTACCCATGCTATTAGTATGACCTTTTTTTAATCAAAATGTTTGGGTGAGGTACTTACTTTTGACTTTTAAAATGATGAATCCAAGACTAAGTTGGGATTTGGGAATAGTTCTCTAAATTCCTTTTAAGACTGATGTTTAAATTATACTAAATTGGAAATTCCTTAGGGGCAGGGATGGGTTCCTGTGTTTGTATACCTTTCATTATCTTAACAAAGTACCTTGCTCAATAACCATTTGTGAAATGAATGGAACTTGTGGTGAGTAGCTATGAAAGGCTGACTGTATTGTTAAGTGCTCAAGTTCAAAGTGAAAAAGGGGATTAGGAGAAAGGAAAAATCTCTGTTAATTATTGCCATGCACTTTGACACTTTAGTGCAGAAAGACTAGAACTCTGTGGAGAAGGCCGATTGAGGGATGTCACTTGAAGTTCCCCAGTTTTCATTTCAACTAGTAATAGTACTTGATCCCTCTCACCTGATCTCTCTCACTTTATGCACCGCCTTACATTTTTCTGTTTTCCTTCTTCCTTGTTTATATCCATATCATTGTGGCATGTGCTGTCATTGCTGGTTCTTCTGGTATTAATCAAGAAGGGGCTGACCCATTTTTAGATTTGTTAGGAATGTGAATACACTGAGAGATAACCACTTTGGAGGAAAGCAAAGGACCATCAGCCTTCTATTTTCTGCCTTGTTGAATGCCTGACCTTGCTCAACTCATCCTCCTATAGCAGCTTATATTTCCATCTGACCGTTGACATCTTTGGGAAGTCATCTAGTTAGTAATTTTTAATGATGTCACAGTCACATTAGGGCTTTTTTTTTTCTTTTTCTTTTTTTTTTGGTAATGGGAATTGAACTCAGGGGCATTTAACCGCTGAGTCACATCCCCAGCTCTATTTTGTATTTTATTTAGAGACAGTGTCTCACTGAGTTGTTCAGATCCTCACTTTTGCTGAGGCAGACTTTGAACTCGTGATCCTCCTGCTTCAGCCTCCTGAGCCACAGGCATTACAGGTGTGTGCCACCATGCCTGACTAGAGCTTTTCTCAGACTAACTTTTGGTTTTGAATTAAAAGGAAGGGTGTAGGTGGTAGTGAATATTTGAGAAGGTAGAACCAATAGGTAGATATGGGTTTAGTTTCCTTCAAGCATTACAGTTATATGGGCTATACACAGTTAGAGTGATTTCCAATCAGGTGTAGGGAGAATTGAGATTTTCTGTTCATGTATTTGTTCATGTATTCATTTCTTGGATTGATGAAGACAAAGAAAAAAGATAGATATAAGACAAAGATCCCTTCAGGGAATTTACCATATGGTGGGGAACACCAAATATAGACAGTCAACTGCAAAGTGGGTGGCCTTGTCTTAACTGCTGCAAGTTATAACCAATTAAAGTAGTTAAGAAAGGAGATGGAATTCTCACTTCCGCCTGGGAAGATTTCTGGAAGGAGACAGTATCTTTCTGAAGATTCAAGAATGAGTATTATTCTTGGACTTGGAAGGGTCTGGGGCAAAGACATATAGCAGGGTATGTTGTGTAATTGAATTTGGAGCAAATGCTGTCTTTTATTCTAATAGATCCAAGAGATGGGAGCTTATGGATAGGTATTAATTTTTAAAAGGTGGATTTTCTGGGAGTAGTCAACGGTGAAAGGGTTTGAACAAGAGAGTGGCACAAATGGTCTTGTGGTAAATGATATTATTAAGAAATATCCCAGATAGAAGTTTTTTAAGATTGATTCTCCAGCTAGTTCCTTCCTAAGTAAAATTCATTACTATAATTTTAAAGCTTGGTAAATTTTTATTTTTAAATTGTTTTTACAATGCTAGGGAATAAACACAGGTCCTTGGCTCTACCACTAAGCAACACCCCCCACCCCCAAGCAGTGGTTATTTCTTTTTTTTTTTTTTTAATTTATTAGTTATTGGCGGACACAACATCTTTGTTTGTATGTGGTGCTGAGGATCGAACCCAGGCCGCACGCATGCCAGGCGAGCGCGCTACCGCTTGAGCCACATCCCCAGCCCAACAGTGGTTATTTCTATTTATCAGAATTGTTTCTTTTTTATTCTTGATCATTCATTTAGCCAACATTTTTAGTTTTTTAATGGTACTGGGGATTGAACCCACAGATAATTTCCCATTGAACTACATCCTCAGTCTTTCTTATTTTTAATTTTGAGACAGGGTCTCTCGCTTAAGTTGCTGAGGGCCTTGCAGTGTTGCTGAGGCTGGTCAAAGTTGAAATCCTCCTGCCTCAGCCTCCTAAGTCACTGGGGTTATAGGTGTGCACCATCACACCCAAGAACAATATTTTAATAAAACATAGAAATCGTATAATGCAAGTAAGGATAGGTCTTTGAATACATCTAGCTTTATGAAACACCATACCCCCTATTTTTGCTTCATTAAAGATTGGATTTACATATACCCTAATTGAAATGTGAGAGGTATTGTTTTGTCCAACATCTTCACTTTGCTAAGGAACAGATATAAACTAAAATGTGGTTGAAAATAAAAATTAGTTTTGTCACCAGAGAGGGTGCTTGACAGATGTTGCAGAAAAGAATTTCAAGATGTGTCAGAAGCACAAGTAGAGATTTATTTAAGACTTTCTCTAGCAGTGATTATTTCTATTTAGCCCAAGTACAAATTTATTTATTTATTTTGGAAGCAAATTTACATTCAAGGGAGAATGCAGCCTATCTCAAGAGTAGAATGCACTTTTTGGGGTCTCAGATGCTTTTTTTTTTTTTTTTTTTGGTGCTGGGGATTGAGCCCGGGCCTTGTGCATGTGAGGCAAACTGAGCCATATCCTCAGCCCCTTCAGAAGCTTTGAAAGGAAACTTTGTGAGGGGTAGGTATGGGAAGATAGGTGGAAATGCCATCAGGCTGGTCATTATAAGACAGTTCATGGTGATCAGTCAGTGCTCAGGATCTTTGATGTTGGCTCCATTAAATTGTCTAAAAATACATGTGTTAGTACAGTGCACAGGACCATTTTCATTTTTTAAAAAATTTTATATTTTATTTAGAAACAGGGTCTCACTGAGTTGCCTAGGGACTTACTAAGTTGCCACGTCTGGCTTTTTTGAACTCACTATCCTCCTGTCTCAGCCTTCTATGCTGTTGGGATTGCTGGTATGTGCCATTATGCCTGGCTACATTTTTTTTCTTTTTTGAGACAGGGTCTCCCTAAGTTGTTTAGGACCTTGATAAGTTGCTGAGGCTGGCTTCAAACTTAGTATCCTCCTGCGCCTCAGCCTCTGGAGTGGCTGGGATTACAGGTGTATGCCACTACACCTGGCTGTCCTTATTTTTCTGGATCAAGCAAAAAGTGTGGTTGTTATGGGTATAGTGGCACACACATGTAATCTTAGCAGTTTTGGGAGACTGAGATGGGGGGAATGCAAGTTCAAGTCCAGCCTGGGTAATTTAGCAAGATCCCATGTTAAAAAATTAAAAGGGCTGGGGATGTGTAGCTCAGTGGTAGAACACCCCTGGATTCAATTCCCAGTACCCCCCAACACACACACTCACATACACACAAAATGTGGCTGGCGGGGCACAGTGGCACACACCTGTAATCCAAGCAACTCAAGAGACTGAGTCAGGAGGATCACAAATTTGAGGCAAGCCTCAGCAATTTAGCAAGACCTCAGCAACTTAGACCCTGGCTCAAAAAACAATCCCCCCACCCTCCCAAAAAAGAGTATGGTTATATGTATTAGGATACATGTTAAATATGGGAAACTGAAAGATATCATCTTTTTTTTTTTCTAGAATTCCACTACCAATTAACTTATTTTTGAGGACAGGAAAAAAATATGTGAGATGATCTATGAATTCAGTTTTCTTTTCTTTTCTTTCTTTTTTTTTTTTTTTTTGAAGGAGAGAGAATTTTTATTTATTTTTTAGTTCTCGGTGGACACAACATCCTTGTTTGTATGCGGTGCTGAGGATCGAACCCGGGCCTCACACATGCCAGGCAAGCGTGCCACTGCTTGAGCCACATCCCCAGCCCCTGAATTCAGTTTTCAAG